CCCCAAAACCCCAAAACCCCAAAACCCCAAAACCCCTAAGGAAAATATAATTATTGATGAAGTTAGAAAATAAAATGAACAGCAAACTATCAACCAAAAAGCCCCTAAATTCTTCAAAAATCTGGAATGAAGCATTTGATCTTAATTCATTCGAAGAGATACAGCAGTATTGGGAGACCACTTTGAATACACCTTCTGCTAGCCTCCAAAAGAAGGCTTGGAAGGAAGCCTTTAAGAGCATTCTCATAATCGAGAAAAGAATTTATGATTCTATGATACTAAAGAAACATAATGGAAATATTTATCAGTGGATTCTTGAAGGGATCGATTCACTTCACAAATATAATAAGTGGTGAGACGGAACAGATATAAGCCAGGAAGAGATTGAGAAGAGTACTAGATATGCCCTGAAGATCCTGAACACCCTCCAGAAGTTGCTTGATACTCGTTTTGTAGATTTGAGTCTTGATGAAGAGTTATTGAAAATTTTAATCCAGCTTGAAAGTTACTTTAATAATATGAGAATGCTCATCTTCGATCAGATTCAGCCAATAGAGTTCTCAAGTCAAAGTTTGACAGATAATAAAGATGCTGTTTCTCCTAACAAGCTCTGTATGCAGTCACTAAATACTCCGAAAGTTAAAGAACAGAAGGCTGACTTCAATTCACTTACAACAGAGAAGCAGATATCCTCGCACAATAATCACCAATCTAATAAAATATTCGACAAAGCCGAAGGAAATGGCTGTATAGAAGTACCTGAAGAGGAATATTATCTCACAAATAATTTACCTTGAAAAGAAAGAGAATATCAGAAATCATATGGCAAAAAGAAAAATACAAACGAGATAGAGTCTCAGAAATTTCATCCCAATTCAGACATTTTTGCTCATACAGCATCTAATCAAAATTGAGAAGAATGAAGATTTATTCCCAATAATCTTATTTCTAAAATGCGAAATAAAAATTGATTAAGAAATTCAAAAAATCTGACAAATTCTGATGATGATTCCCAAAGTGTTATGTCTGATATCACAAAGCATACAGAACGCTCTGTTGAGAAGACTAGTCCAATATCTTCCGACCCTGAACCTAAGAAATATCTGACCCGCTTCAGCATCAGAGAGAACAAAAGGATATTTGGACCAAGGATAAAAATCCGTGAAGAAAAGAATACTTTTAAAAGTTTCTACAAAAGAAGGATGGTTACTACTGATTTCGAGTTTAATCCCCGATTTGATGAGCCAAAGAAGCAGAAAAGGAAGCCCCGAACCCCCTTACCTCCTCCTAGTCATGCTTCCTCCTTCCACATGGGGCTACGTAAGAGACAAATGAAGGAATCTGCTGTCAAGTCACGAGAGATACAGAAGCAGACGTCCGGGATCCTAAAGCCAGATCCTTTAAAGAGCAAATTCTGGTAATTTCTATTGTATAATAAATTCTAAGTTAAATTAAAAAATTGGGGTTTTGGGGTTTTGGGGTTTTGGGG